GGCAATTTCTCTTACCTAATTTCTTAGCCTAATGTTTTAGGACAATGCTAAATAATAATAGTGTTAGTGAACATACTTGCCATATTCATAACTTCGTGATCTAACTCATATTAATTTCAGATTAAGTATCATAAAATTTATCATGATGACATTGGTATATTTTATCATGTTAGGAAAACATCATATATCCTATGCTATTTTTATCAAGAATATTTAAGGATATGAAAATGTTACCTACTCTGATTTAATCATTACATACTATATACATGTATCTAATTATACTATAGCTGATATATTTGTGCAATTAAAATAATAATTAATAAAAATAAAATAAAAAATGGGTATGAAAATTTATTCAAACATTAATATTTATGATTTCATGACTTTTTGCACATTTTATGTATTCATATATTTAAACATATTATGAGGTTTTTTAATGTTTTACTTCTAAATATTTAGTATAACCCCAACTTTATCATCGTATTGTGCTAAGACTTTTACAACAACAAAGACAACTTTCATGAAAGATCTCCATGCTTCACTACATTTTGTTTTATATCAATGCCCATACTTCTATTTACAATTATTCTTTAAAAAATCGACCACTTTTGCAAAATATGTAGAAATTCAGTTAAAATATTAAAGTATTTCACAATATTATTAACTTTGTAATGGACCTCGGAAAAATGAAAATCCTCATTGGTCAAATGTTATAATAAAGGTCAGAAGATAGATGACAGGGTCCATGTATGCATGTGTGTTTAGCTGTCTCTTTTGTTAATTTTCAAGTTTTTTCTGATATTAAAAGAAAGCATTTTATTGAAGCTGCTACTCCTCTGATCATGATTTAATATAAGAACTATAAGATTTAAGAGAATCGTAAACTTTGTTTTCTTACATAGTTTGTTACTTTATCTGACCATTGATAAAGTTAGTATATAGAATGATTTTTCCTCTTTCTCATTTTCTCTCTCCTTCACCATCAATTTTGGCAGATTATTCATACATTATCTTTCTTAGGATTTCAATTTTTCTTTTAAATTGTTTTATACTTCTGTTGCTTGATTTATCGATTTTATGTGTATATTTTACCCCATGGCTACACATTATTTAAAAAAAACACTTTTTTTCTTTCATGTACATACTTTCCCCTTCCTTCCTACTTTTCAATGACTTATTTATTGTCAAGATTTATGTCAATTGCTTTTTACTCTGTAACTATAGCCTCCACATTTGACAATCAATTAGTCTTGAAATCCTAATTAATATTCCAATCACAGCCTCAATCACAGTCTTACAATTCTATTTTAGTCCTACATTCTTAATTCTCTTGTCCGGGATTTTCACTGTAGTTTTCTATTCGTCTACTTTCTTAGTATGCATTTTTAATTAACACATATTGAATTATACATATTAATGGGATTCGCTGTTATATTTCCATCCATGTATGTAACATGCATTGATCATGTCCATCTACCATTCTTCAATCCTTCACAAATCCCAGGAACTTCAAGTCCCTAGTAATCACTGTTCTACTTTTGGGTCCACTTGTTTCTTAGATTACATATGTGTAAGAGAGAACATGTAGTACCCAACTTTCTGCCTGGCTTATTTCATTTAACATAATGTCCTCCAGTTCCAACAACTCTGTTTAAATGACACGATTTCATTATTCTTTATAGGTCAGTAATACTCTATTTTTCACCATAG